CCTCCATCCCTCCCCCCGCCTCCACTGCCCAGGAGTCAGTGTTCCCCCTTCCTACATTACCAGCCCAATGTTTACCAAGTTGCTTTCACCTTGTTGAACGTGGGAGACGATGCAAAGGCTTGAGGCTCAAACTAACCTTTTATGTACTTTGAAGGCTTTGATTTAGCATTGTGGTACAGGGGGATCCTGAAACCGTTATGATGTTTCGTTATTCTTGTGTCAGCATCGTAGGTACTTGGTCAGTTGGTTTGACCCGGTTGCTCGTTTTGTATAAAGCTCAGATTTGCAGTCTAAATATCACTTTGAGTTATTGCTGCTACAGAATTTGAATGGATAAAAGGAGGAACTACAGTTTTGGGTTTTTTTTCTCATTGTTCATACCTGGTGTTTACGTGCTCTGGATCCATCTGGCCTTTTAAAGTCAAAACTATTGGATATTAAAGAATTCCTTAACCAGACAACAATAACTATCAGCCCAGTTGGGCTGGAGCTGTTCCAGATTTGCTCTGTCTCTCCTCAAGTGCAGATATCTCGTTTCTGCATTGCAAGGCTGTCTTCAGCTGGCTGTGACTCTACACGTCTTCCAGCTGTCGGTGCAGGACACTGTGATGAGACTGCCTTGCTGTCTTCTGATGATGCTCAATCATAGAAAATGAAAGGAAGATAGTGTCTTGTTTTGGCAACATGTCATGTGCTCTGATTCCTAATTTTATTACATCTTACTCTCTATAGTATGGAAGAAAATGACCATAAAAACCAAAGGTGTTTCTTTTCTGCTAGGAAAATTGAAAAGAAATGTGAAACAAATTTGATGGCAACACCGAATAGATGTGACTAGCTAAAAACATGGGTTAAATGACTTATAATGGTGGGTCGGAATGAGAAGGTTTAATTCTCATATAATTTCTGTTATATTTCCGTGTTATTTTTGTGTGGACACCAGAAACCCTCAATTTACTGTTTACAAAGTGATCTTAGCAACAGTGGAAATAGGAAAAAAAGAATAATATGAAGCCTTTCCTCTTTTGGAAGGGAAAGGGAGGAAAATGTGACTGTAAACTCGCTTGTGATGCAGTGCAACATTTTTTAAAATCTTAGGGATCTGTTTACTTAGGTACCTTAAATATATAAAGTGAAGAGTAAAGTTCATATTAAATGGAATGCACTAAAGTCATAGTCAGGTGAACTGGCACCCTTCGTGTGTGTGCATGCGAATGCTGCGTGGGTTTGAAATGTTACGTATGAATAACTGAATGGAAGTGGTCATCATATGCAGAGCTGTCGTATCCCTCTACTGCTGTGTGGAGAGCAGAGCAGATCTGGTCTGGTACTGAAGTTAGTGCTCAGTTTTTAAATACAGAGTTCAGCTGGCCAGGCAGGTGAAAATTTTCTGGGCAAGGAGCTCCCCAGTTTTACTGGTGTCTTGACATTTTGTCTTACATTCCCCAAACCCAAGAAACAACCAACCTCCCTCCCTCTCTGCGCGACAGGTTATTGTTAAAGAAAAGATTTGGCCTGGTTTATCCACACTTTCCATTTCGGCCCATGTAAACTCAGGAAGGATTGATCTGCAGAAGTATTCTGCAAGTGCCGAGCACCTCTAACAGTTGGTCTTCCAGTAAACCACTGCAAAACCACTGTCCATCATATTTGAGAAGTCCTGGCAGTCTGATGAAGTTCCTGCAGACTGGAAAAAGGGGAACATAACCCCCATTTTTAAAAAGGGTAACAAGGAAGACCCGGGGAACTACAGGCCGGTCAGTCTCACCTCAGTGCCAGGCAAGATCATGGAGCTTGTGAAACTCCTAGAAACTGTGCTAAGGCACATGGAGAATGAGAAGGTGATTGGTGACAACCAACATGGCTTCACCAAGGGCAAATTGTGCCTGACAAATCTCGTGGCCTTTTATGATGGGGTTACAACATTGGTGGATAAGGGAAGAGCAACTGATGTCATCTACCTGGACTTGTGCAAGGCATTTGACACCATCCCACATGACATCCTTGTCTCTAAATTGGAAGCATGTGGGTTTGATGGATGGACCACTCAGTGGATAAGGAACTGGCTGGATGGTCGCACTCAAAAGAGTTGTAGTCAATGTCCAGGTGGAAACTGGTGATGAGTGGAGTCACTCAGGAGTTGGTATTGGGACCGGTGCTGTTCAACATCTTTGTCAGTGACATGGGCAGTGGGATCGAGTGCACCCTCAGCAAGTTTGCCAATGACACCAAGCTGACAACCAAAGAAGGCTACCTACACCAGGTTGCACAGGAAAGTGTCCAGGTGGGTTTGAACATCTCCAGAGATGGAGACTCCACACCCTCTCTGGGCAGCCTGTCCCAGGGCTCCGGCACCCTCACAGGAAAGAAGTTTTTCCTTCAGTTTGTCTGGAACTTCTGGTGTCCCAGTTTGTGCCCATTGCCCCTTGTCCTGTCACTGGGCACCACCGAGAAGAGCCCGGCCCCATCCATTTGGCCCCCGCATTTCAGATATTTATAGACATTGATTTATAGACATTGGTAAAATCCCCATTCTACTGCATGGCTGCCTGAATCACTGAAATAAAGGAACTACAGCAATGTAGCCAACAAACTTCTAATAAAAGTATTTGCTTGAACAACACCATATTGGACATAGTCCACCAGAATAAAAACATTTTGAGGCTGCAGTGTCTTGTTGTAAACGTTTTTGACAAGAAGCCTGATTGAATCCAACCACCTCTGGATATCCAGCATGTTAGAGTGTTTCCAAGTGAGATCTATCATCCCATCCTGGACTGATAGCTTTGGATAATCTTCTAATCCAAGTAATTGCTTAAATGTTGCAGCCTATTTAGTTTTGCACAGTTTAGGATTGCTTGCTGCTGGAGAGCTCAGGAGAAATTTTTTTTTAAAAAGACTGCAGCTGAATAAATGAATAACTCCAGCTGTCTGGGGTCCAGGCTGGATTTACAGATGTCATATCCTAATGCTGTATTGGTCTGTTAGACACAGCTCCTCAGCTCTGTTGTTCCTCTGACTTCAGGGATTTTTGCTGAGGCTTCCAAAGAGAAGGTGACTTGAAGAAGACAACTTGGTGTCAGTTTTGCTCTGAAGGACACTGAAGCTTTTTCTTGTCCTTGTCCTTGTGTCCGATGGGAGTAGCCTTTAGTAATGGACTGCTTGCTCTCTGCATATACCTGTCTTGTGTTCCCACTACCTCCTGCAGTGGGGCCAGACTGCTTCCCATGCTCTGTGGACATGCAGTAGCCAAAGAACAATTGAGGAGCATATTTCTTTAGCTGTCTGCGTGGTAGAAGAGCGAAGTTGCACTCTTTGCACTCTTGAACTGCCAAAAAACTGGTAAGTTGAAAGGCCTGCTTGGAGGATGCTGTGGAGTGGAAGATTTTAGCTAAATAAAAGGCTGCCCAGTTATTGCTTGTGGAACAGTGTCACATCAGGATTGTTGATTTTGCCCTTGTTTTGGGGATTATGGAGAAAGTCAGGCACCGGGGCAATGTTTCAGAGTCCCAGTTTGCCTCTTGGCCTCACAAACAAGAATACTAACAAATAACTCATTGCTCTCACTTTCCCTCCATCTTTGCCTGGCTCTGCTCTTTGTTGTTCTGAGAATGGAGAGACTCCTTTCCCCCTCTTCTCCAAGAATCACAACCATTTTTTGCTTTGTCTTTTTTACAGATCAACTTTGTAGCCTGTCAACTGTTTGCACTTTTGGCTGCATTTTGGTTTCGTATTTACTTGGGTCCCAGTCATGCCAGCTCCGCTGTTCGCCATGCATTTGCCACGCTCTTTGGAATATACTTTGCTGTCTTCTGCTTTGGGTGGTGAGTATTTAGTCACAAGGCTTGGGTAAAAATATTTTAAAAATCAATATCAGCTTTTCTGGATTAAATCTTTTTAGTTTTAAAACACAGTCTCTGTTGTCCTAAAAAGAAAATTAAAAATTTCCTAACTAACCTATTCCAAACTATTCAAAGTAAAATGAGCCATGAAAGTGTTTGTAAGTGAAGTATTTAATCTGTGATGTTTGTTCTGGAAGTTAAAGCCATACCAGTCTGCTGGGAAGATACCTCTTTTAGAAAAGATGCATCTAGTTTGAATGTATACATTCAATATTGACAATATCTTCTCACTAAGTATTAATCTATGTTGGAGAATCAGGCTATGAGGATGTTCTTGTGCTAATCCATCTTTACTGATACCCTAATATGACAATGTGTTTATTTCATTTGCTTGGGAAGATATTCCCTTGTTCTGAACTGCCAGCCCCTCCAGGTCATGTAGAAATTGTCTAAATACTGACTTTGTTGTCTTCAAGGTATTCCATTCATCTTTTTGTCCTGGTGATGATGAACTATGGTATTATGAATATGGCGAGTATCCCCAACGTCCACAGGTGAGCTCATGTGGCTGCGAGACTGAAGCTGACCCTTTCACAACTCCTCTCCTTTCATGGAGAAGCACGAGGTATATTCAGGAAACACCTTCTCTTCTTTCCAGCCTTTCTTTCCCCATTACTTGCAGGAGCTTTGTTCATCCAGTTACAGAAGCAGCTGTAATCTCCATTTGTGGTTTTTGCATTGATATATTGCATTTCCCTATGAAATTGCTGGCCTTGGAAGTCAGCTTTTGCGGGCTTAACAACTTATGCTCAAACCTCTGGTTTTCTAAACATAAAGAAGTCATATTTTCCTTGGTCTTGTTCCTTTGAGGATTGCTTTTGGTAATCCTTTTTAATGTGTTTTTCCCCTTGCTGTATGGCCTTGAGGTATTTTCCACTTATTCTTGAGTTAGGTAGTTCAAATAAGGTCACTGTGGCAGCTTGACTTAGTGATCTGTGGAATTCAGTCTTGCATTTGATGCTAGGCTTTGAGCTTGAAAAAGTGGAAAGTAACAGAAATGTCACTGCTTTGAAGCAGAAGCTTACTGCATCATCTTGAGAAGTTCTCAACCATGAGATCTTTCTTTTCCCTATACAAATGTCTCGGAGGAAGGAAGACACCCAACACTCCTAAAAGTGCTTTATCAAATGAGTGCCTTCTTGGCCAGAACACAAAAAGCACTTTCATATGAAAGTGAAAAGTACATGATAGTTACATCTGTTTCTCTCACTGAATAAGAGAGAGTTCATGTAGAAGAGCTTCTCTGCTCAGTCACTAAGCCTTCTCCTCTGGGTTGTGTGCTCTCTGGTAGAGGTCAGCTTGTGGGAGTTTCTCATAGAATCCCGGACTGGTTTGGGTTGGAAGGGACCTTAAAGCTCATCCAATTCCAACCCCCCTGCCAGCAGCAGGGACACCTTCCACTAGACCAGGTTGCTCAAAGTCTCATCCAGCCTGGCCTTCAACACTTCCAGGGAGGAGCAGCCACAGCTTCTCTGGCCAGCCTGGGACACTGTCTCACCACCCTCACACCAAAGATTTTTTTCCCAATGTCTCATCTAAACCTACCTTCTTTTAGTTTAAAGCCATTTCCCTTTGTTCTGTCATTAACTGCCCTTGTCCAAAGTCCCTCCCCAGCCTTCCTGGAGCCCCTTCAGGTACTGGGAGGCCACTAGAAGGTCTCCCCGGAGCCTTCTCTTCTCCAGGCTGAACAGCCCCAACTCTCTCAGCCTGTCCTCACAGCAGAGCTGCTCCAGCCCTCGCATCATCCTCGTGGCCTCCTCTGGACTGGCTCCAGTTGCCCCCACTCACTCTTGTGTTGGCAGCTCAGAACTGGACATTGTTAATTAAATTTTGGTTCTTCTGTAAAATAACAGCTCTACAAGAAGCCGGGGAATGAAGGAGTGAGATTCTCATGCTACTGACACTTTCTTCCCATGAGAAGCTGTGTAGCAGTGTCAGAGTTTGCAGCTGCAGGGCCAATCCACCAGCACCCCAAGCCCTTCTCTTCAGAGCTGGTCTCAACTCCGGTTTAATATTGTCTAGGTGAACTTGTTTGCTTCCTATCAATCTGAATAATTAGGAGTTCTTATTTTTAAAACTGCTGCTTTATAGCAGGCTGGAAGGGTGAACTGTCAGTTCTTCCCACTTTACTTTTGTGTCAGCCTCCCTTAACCGCTTGTGGTCAGTTCTGTGGTTTGGTTTGGATGTGTTAGAGATGATTTCTGTCTCTGTGCTCTGCGTGGCTGTTTCTGTAGCTGCTGCTGAATGCTCACATCCACACCAGTCTGGGGTGGGGAATGGGAACTCTTTATTTGCTCATCTTCAGGGCTAGGGCTGTCTGAGGGTCTAATGCTCAGATAATCATCTCTCCTTCTTTGTCTCTTCCTAAAGTGACCCCTCTCTAATATCCAAATGTTGGAACCATCATTTACGATTTATCTCTTATAGTTTAGAAATGTGACCCATAAGCGACAGGCATGTCTATACCAGTCACTAGCATTTTGCACCAGCAAGAGAGGTATTAATCAAGAAGCTTTTTTCCGCCCCCTCACAGAGTGCAAAGCCCAGAAGTCCGGAGGTAATTAATAATTTTAAAAAAAAAAGTAATTAGACAACGTTTATGAAACAAATGCTATCCAGAGACCAGAAGGAAAAGGTGCTGAAAATGTGTATTACTTGTCTCGTGGTCATTGTCCCTGCCCATCACTTAGGGGAAATACAGGAATTACTCATTGTGGATCAGAAGACCCAAATCTACAAGAGGGAATCATTCAATGCTGGTTTATGTCTTCCCAGAGCAGTTGAGGTGGTGGTGGTGGTGGGGAAACAGGCACAGTTTCATTGGGAAACCCCCTCACTCTTACTGTTTAGCCAGTTAGTCACAATGGGAGGAACAGCTGTACACAAATTAAACTGGCTCATACAGTGTCACCCACTGCTGCGAGATAGTAACGAGCTGATTTGAGCCCATGGGAAATAGCAATCCAACGTGCTGAAAAACCTTAGGAGGGATGGGAGGATTGAGCTAGGGCTTTTCTGCTGTATTCCACTAGCCATAGCAGTCTGACTCAAAGTACATCCACATTACTGATTTTGGCAAGATAACAATGTATTCAAGCTGCTTGAGAATAAGCTTAAAAAAATGCCAGTTTAGGACTGGCACTGGATCCTTCATAGTGGAGCTCCAAGACTTGGCTTTTTTTCCCTCCAAAAGGCAAGTGGAAGTGAACAAGTTAAAGAAACGACATAGTTTAACCTGCATGCTCCTTTCCCTGGTTATTTTCTACTAGTTTGCTCTCTGGTGAGGCCACCAGCCTTCGAGGCTTATAAATGGACAAACTAATCCAACATCAGACGTGCTCCCAGCTGCAGCAGCAGTTCGGTATATCCCTCCCTGCTCACCCCCCTTGCAGTCTTGGTGCTTTACCTGAAGCTTTATCTGCTTGAGGGTCATTTTAGAAGCTTCATCCCTTGTGTCACAGTTAGGTGTCTGAGCTGGGTGACTTGCCTTTGGAGAGGTGTTTGCCATTCTTTGCTGATGGGAGGGAGCCCAAGGACCTTGTTGAGGCTGGACTGCATGCCTGACTGAGATGAGATAAGTTCTGCTCTGAATCTCCTGAAGAAGCTGTCCTGTCCCCTCAGTCTGCCTTTCATCCAGCTGTTTGCTGTGGGCTGTGTGACCTGCATGTTGCCTTGCAATCCATCACTGTCATTCACACTGTGGTTCATTAGTCCTCAGGGAGGAAAAACTCATTTCTTTTAAAGCCAGCCATGACTTGACAAAGGCCTGCTTTGTTTTCAGTCATCTGATGACTGTTGTTCTTGTTTGATTTCACCTTTAGATCCTCACCATGATCAATCCTCCCCTGGATCTAGGGAGATCCCAGTTGGCAGTGTGTGCTCCCAGCTTGCCGAGTGTGCAGCCTCACTCCTCTGTGGGTCTTTGCATCTTCTTCTCCACATGGCTGTCTTTTCCTCATGCAGGAGACACCAGTAGACCTGGTCCTGGCCTGTCCATGCACTGTAAACCTTTCATTCTGCTGTCCCAGCTCTCTGTTGCACTTTCTAGTTTGCTTCATTTTGTCAGTCTTGTTTCCAAATATCCATCTGCTTCTTAGCTCCCCCGTACCCTCTTTCTTGCTCTGATAAATACAGGGAGAAGTTAGCTGTAGGAAAGGCTGCATCTGCCCCACCGAGGTACTGAGTGCCTCCAACATACTGTTGCAATCATCTTGGAAATAGAGTGAATTTGTCAAGCTCTTCTTAAGGAACGCTCCTGAAAATATTAGGCTATGTGTGATTGTCTGCCTTTATACAAAATCAGAAGATAGAAAACATCTTGAACTTGAGATATTTTAGTTTCTTGTAAGTCTGAGGAAGAATTGTACGTGTAAATAAAGATAAAAAAGGTGATGGATAACTCGAGTGACACACAGTGTCATCTGGTTTCACATACTTGAGCCAGACAGAAATTTCAAAACAGTATGTGAGGGTGTGATTGAAATGGCCAACTTGAAGTGATCCTATTTCTTCTTTTTTTTCTTTTTTTTCCCCCACTCCCAGCGTGAGGAGACACCTCTGTAATGTTTCATCTGGGTAGGCAAAGCCATCAGTCCTCTTTGAAAATTTCTGCCAGATCTTGTCACGTAGCTTCAGACTTGTTAACAACCTGATTTGCAAAAATCAAACTCCACTCCTAAACAAGCCCGAACCCAATCTGAGTGATTCTAGTTCTTGTTGGTACTTGTGTTGGTGACGGTGTGTTCTGTATTTTGTGTTTTTTAGGTACTCCTTTGTCGTAGCTATGGGATACCTCACGTTGTGCCACGTAAGCCGAATATACATATTTCATTATGGTATTCTCACTACAGATTTTTCCGGGTGAGTGAATCTGCAAGATGGGTCCCGTGTTGATTTAATATTAGTTAAATTTAGTACATTTTAAGAATTTTTGTGTTATCTGGGGAGCACCTGCAATTTTGTTTCCCTTAAGCTTTTTCTAAGACTTTCTTTCTTTCTTTCTTTCTTTCTTTCTTTCTTTCTTTCTTTCTTTCTTTCTTTCTTTCTTTCTTTCTTTCTTTCTTTCTTTCTTTCTTTCTTTCTTTCTTTCTAAGGAAGGAATAAAGACTGTGTGATTTTGGCATTTACTCATTGTTTGTGCTGTTTTCTTGCTAGGCACTGTCTAATTAGGAAGGCAGAGCTTATTAGCTACACTTGCAGCTAGAGCAGTCTGGGAGGATATGCAGGGTTGCTCCCTGATGCTGGAGGAGCACTTACAGCCCTGGCAAGCAGCATGGTTGGTGTTTTGGTCCCTGGTGGGGTGGGCTGATCTCCCAGTCACTAGACACAACCATCAACTCTGGGTTGTTGTTGATCCTTACCCCTGTTCTGATTATCTTGATGCCCCAAATGGGAAAGTGTTTCCCACTCCAGTGGGCAGGGGGTGAGTGACTGGAGGGGTGGGTGGGCAACCTGGGCAGAGGGACATGAGCTTTCGGTGTTGGTCTTACAGGTTCTCTCATGGGGGCAGGTTGTGGCTGCTGTTTGAATAGCACAACTTTATTTTTATATGCCAAGTGTTTCTGTGGAACAATGTTTTTCGTACATACTGTAGGTATATACTGTAGTCTGTGTTTGATTTTGCTGAAGCAGAAATTTTGCAGAAATACAGACAATTAACCCTATTTTGTGAGAGGAAGATATGCTTTTGCAGGATTTAAAAACAATGTGCTGATATGTATTCCACTTGTTTAATTGAATATCTGAATACAAAGTAATTAGTAACATACTATGAAAAATTTCTGCAAACTAGTACAGTAAGTTGTAGATGTGTCTCCCAAACCTCTGCCACGTTATAGGCATAGAGTAGGGAGCCAAAGGTTTTTGCTGTCTGTGTGCTTGTGTCTCTGTGTGAGGTGGCAGCTTTAAGCATTTAATTAAAATTTCAATGGATGGGGAGAAGGCTTCTCTGAGACTTGTGAGGATTTTTGTTAGAGGAGGGAGCAGAAATGGGAACACATACATTTAGAGAAATCTAGTTCTATAGGTTTTTTTTCTGCAGTTCTTTTAATACACAAGAGCATGACATACCGAGAAACCTGTAAATGGGATTGGAATGCTGTAGCTCTGTGTGTGTATGAGACAGACAGGGAAGCATGAGAGTTTGTGCTTTTCTGGATAGTGCATTCAGAAATGCTCTGTGAGGTGTACTAGCTGTCTGTCTCTGAAGACATTTAATAAAGAATTTCTTCATAAGATTTAGATGAGATATTGGGAAAAAAATCTTTGGTGTGAGGGTGGTGAGACAGTGTCCCAGGCTGGCCAGAGAAGCTGTGGCTGCTCCTCACTGTAAGTGTTGAAGTTGGCCTTGGATGAGGCTTTGAGCAACCTGGTCTAGTGGAAGGTGTCCCTGCTGCTGGCAGGGGGGTTGGAACTGGATGAGCTTTCAGGTCCCTTCCAACCCAAACCAGTCTGGGATTCTATGAAAGATCCAGCTGAGACTGGGAGTGGAAGAAGAGGATTGGTGGTTGTTTATATTATAGACTAGGTAACATTTTGTGCTCTCTTGATGGAAAAGGAGATACTCTTATCTAATTATGATCTTGAGAATAATAATGATACTGAGAGAATACTACCTGAACTTCCTCTGTTATTTGATTTTGACTTGATGCTTGAAGATGTAAACCAATTCGTAAACATCAGTCAAGCATAAAACTGACAAGTAGTAAACAACTGGAAAATATAGTATGAATATAAACTACATCTTCATGGTATATTTTAAAAACTAAGAATAAATAACAGTATTGTAGTGGTGTTAATAAAAACTTGCAATCCAAAGTGTTGAAACCCACGTCGGCCTCATAAACCTGCCTTAAAATCTGTTTTCCTCAGCTGTAAATAATACGTGCTGACTGAGGCTTTATGCACACACCTAAACAGATGTGATGACCCAGAGAGACAAAATATGCTCCCTGACCACATTTTTACATATATGAGCAGCAACTGAACCTCCTCTTGCTCGTTCCTCCTGTGTTTGGTGGTAGGGAAGCATTCAAACAGGCCTGTTCCCTACTGGTGACTAGTTAATTCTTCTAACTCATGCAGAGGTTAGGTTTGGTTGCTGACTCCCACAACCAAAGCTGTACTCAAGCTGCTTGCAGCAATTTCTTGATTTAAGTTTTTCGTATATTGCATTGTACTTAGGTGAAAGCTTTTTCTTTTTAAACTGCATGCCAGATTTTAATGAAAAACAGTTCCAGTTTGCTACTTTTTAATTACTTTTATGTACATATATTTTATCAAAGTTCTTTAATTTATATTATTCACAAAAATGTGGTGACGTAGCTTAGGAATTTTCTCTTGACTAGTTTCTGGAAGAAAACAATTCATTTTTGAACACTAATTGTAAAATATCTGAGTGCTGTGCTTCCCCCTTAATTCAAATCATACTTTGAGAAAAACTTTTTTTTTTTTCTTTTGCTTGGCTTGCCATGGCATTTGTACATTGTACCTAGGAAAACTGAACCCTAATTCTTTCTCTGTTTTTCTCTCTCTTATTTCTTCTTCTTTATGCTAAGAGGATTATGCTGGTAAGTTGCCTGGTTTCTATACAACTTTATAAAAAGGGTAATACTGTCGTACAGTTTGGGTTGTTTTTCCTTGTATCACGGGCTCAGAGCAAGTATAGTAATATTATGGCTTTAGGGAGAAATTAGTTTAAAATAAATCAAGGGATCTTGTTTGGGATTTTTGGAAACTAGTACTAGACGTAGTTTCAATCTAGCAAGCTACATGAATGAATGCCACATGCATCCGATCATCTGGAGGGAATTGAGCGGAGCTCCTCATCGGTACGAAGTTGTATGTGCTTTAATTCTTTGCTCAAGCAAGACCACAGAGTGTTTTGGTTTCCTCTTTGAATTCTTGCAGTGTCTGAGCAAAATTTCCTAGTATGGCAGCTCATTCAGTGAATGTCAGGGAATGATTGTGCTTATGTGAGTTTCTTGGTGCCATTCTGTACAGAAAATAAACTTAGTTTGTGAAAATTGCCCCACGCACTGGCAGTTGCTTTCAATCTTCTGCTGGTCTTGGAGACAACGCAGCTGAATTATCAGGGTGACTCAAGCAGTTTTACCTCCCTACAGGTGTAAAATCTGTACCTCTTACATGAGTGTTTTGGTGGACATCACTCTCTAGAAGGAACGGACATCTTTATGTTCGCTCAATCCCAAATGCAAAACAGCAGCAGCATTCTCAACAACCCACTTGGAAAGGGGTGGTCATTGAAAGAGCCCTCTCGAAAAGCCATATAAGCAGATAATTTCATTACAAGTATGTCACTTCAGGCACTGAATTTTTGTTGGGTGGTTACTGCTTTGTTGCTGGCTTTTCCCCTCTAAGTGGCTTAGTATCGACCACAGAAGAAAGGAACAAAGGTACAGCAGCCCGTTTTCACAAAGGAAATACATTTGCTGATGGAAACAAACATAGATGTGCTCTGTTACCATGTTCAAACACTGCAGAAATAAAACCTGGTCCTGCAAGTTCACTTGGTTATTTTTATTTTTTTGTCTTTTAAACATATGAAGTGCAATACATTGTCTGCAGCGTCTGTTCCAGCAGCTCTGGAGAACTTTGGTCTGCAGCAGGTCCCCAGAGGCAGCCCAGCAGCGCACGTGCAGGGTGCGTAAGGAGAGGTCGGTCTGTTTTCCGTGCCCTCTCGCTGCTTGGCTGCTTGAAACTGCACAGAGATCACTCACCATCGGTTACACAGAAGCCCTGCAAGAGCCACGATGTGGGAATCGGCCAGAATTCAAGCAGACAGTTACTACAAGAGAGCTCCACACATCTAGTTCATCCCAGGACTCTTCTCCAGGAGTAAATACTCGTTGAAGCGAAAGGCTCTTCAGGAGCTTTCACCAAAAAAAACCCTAACCAAAACCCACATGAAGCAAATTGGAAGTTGCTTTAGAGGCGTGAGAGTGTTTAGTGAAGTATTTTTCCTCTGTGTGCTTCAGCACTTCTTCATTTTGCTGTCGAAAGCAGAAGTCCCGAGCCTGCTGGCAGTGAAGCCGTTGTGGCCCCTCTGCTCGGCCATCCCCTCGGCAGCGTGTTTAATGTCGTAGCAGAGTGTGGCTGTGTGGACTTCTCCTCGTGGCTTCAGGGCTAGAGAGAGAAACCTGAAATAAATGTTTTGCTGGTTTAGAGTCTTGTCTGCAGTGAGCCTTTTGACTCCACCTCCTCTCTTAGTGAAATCAGGTCAGTGGAAACTATTTCTAGCGAGTGTGTGCCAGACTCCTCCACAGGATTACCTAAGGTCAGACAGACTCTGCGTGGTAAACGTCTTTTCTTATAAGCGCCGAAGCTTGCTCCGTGCAGAAGCCAGCCCGTGATACAGGGAGGATCCCCCCCAGCAGGATACAGCCGATGCTGACATGTGCTTCTGGGCAAATTTGGGGCAAGCCACGTTTAAAAATGACATTAACTGTCATTTGGTAGGCTTCGTTAGAGGGGTTAAAGCCTCTATTGAACATTCTCTGTAAACTCTTGTATCTTTGTCTTGTGTTATATTTCAAGGCATATAGTGTAAAGACAGTTTTGTTGGTTTTGTTTGTTTTTTTTAATTTGTTGAAATTTACTGTTTCATGCTGACTCCATGGGACAAGTTCTTGTGTTCGGTTTGGGGTTTTTTTGCTTGTTTTTGTGATTTTTTTTTTTTTCTTAATTAAAAGTTGGCTGCTACAGTTTGTTTGTAGGAGGTACAACCTGATATTAAGCTCTTAGCCAGTATATAAAACATGAGGGGGGGAATCACACCACAGGTAAATCTAATTCTGTGTGTCTGTGTTAGTGGATGTAGAGAATGTAGAATCATAGCACTTAGCATGTAGCTGCAAAGCGATTGGGAAGTGTTCAAATATGATTGAGTTCAAGTCATTTAGGCTTCTCAAATATGTGTTTTATTTCAAATGCCCTGTTTCAAGGGGTAGATCTTTATGCTTCATCTGTAACTGCAAGTGCAATAGGTAGATTTTCTTCTTAAATTCAACTTAATAATTTACCCCACTCCCAATAACCTGTGCATCTCTCAAAATCTGGGAGAAAGATGATAGCTTTGTTAACTCCCCTTCTCGTTTGTAGCTTTTTCCAGTAGAGTCTAAGCTTTAAAATACTGTAATGTCAGAAACAGTTGACTATCTGTGAAATGATGCTGTATTTTGCATATTAACTCGCTCAGTTTTACTGCTTTTTAAAATTAGAGGTTACCTAAAAGGCTGACCAGAAATAACAATTCACTACTCTGGTAGTGCCAAGTTTTAATAATAAAACTCTGGTATTGCCAAGTTTTAATAATAAAAACTCACATGTGTATTTATGAAATGATGATATTTAATTTTCCCCCTAAATTAAATGTATTTCTCATATCAAATTTTTAATATGGATTCAGGACTCCTGTCCTCGTTCATTGCTTTGCAAATATGGGGAACAGGACTATTTTTCATTCTGGGGAAAAAAAAATAAACCCAAAACAGTCTTAGACTTGCTCTATGTGTGTGAGTGCATGATGAGGAGAGATTGGTGAGTCCCTAGGGAGGAATGGGACAGGGGTGGGTGTGCGGAAGGTGGGGAGACCCACACCCCAGAGGGTGCCAGGAGACAGCAGAGCTCCAGCACTGCTATTGCTTTGTTGTGCTCTGCCCTTTCCTGCAGAGAAGGCTTGGTCCCCCAATGAGGACAAGTCAGTGCGGGAATGGTAGGCAGGTGAGAGAGGAGAAAGAAGCTCGCTGGTCACCTGAAACTGTGCTCACCCTTTGTGTGAAATGTTTAATGAGATTTGATACTGATCTTTTGAAAGATGTAGAGGGTGCTGTCCCATTGCCACTGTACCGCAAGTTTCCACCTTCCTGAGCTGGGCATAGAAGAGAGATGTAGATACATAATACAATGATTCAATACTTCACCTTGAGTGCTGTGTCCAGTTTTGGGCCCCTGACTCCAAGAAGGACATGGAGGTGCTGGAGCGTGTCCAGAGAAGGGAACGGAGCTGGGGAAGGGTCTGGAGCACAAGTGTGCTGAGTTCCCTTGTGGCTGAGGGAACTGGGGGTGTTGAGCCTGGAGAAAAGGAGGCTGAGGGGAGACCTTGTGGCTCTGTCCAACTCCCTGAAAGAAGGGTGTAGAGAGGCGGGGGTGGGTCTGTTCAACCAAGGAACAAGTGACAGGACAAGAGGAAATGACTTCAAGTTGTGCGAGGGAAGGTTTAGATTGGATCTGAGGAAAAACTTCTTCACCCAAAAGGCAGTCAGGCAGTGGAACGGGCTGCCCAGGGAGGTGGTGGAGTCACCTTCCCTGGTGGGATTGAACAGACGGGCAGACAAGGTGCTCAGGGACATGGTTTAGAGGTGGAGTTGGCAGTGTTGGGTTTTCAGTTGGACTCGATGATCTTAAAGGTCTTTTCCAGTAACAACAACAAAATCTATGATCCTTTGATGGCACGAGAAGGCCCCTCAGATATACTCTGTGGATCTCCCTCCCACCCGAGGTGTCAGCAGCATCACTTTTGTGCTCACTTGTCTCCTCTGGTGTTGGGATTTGAGGGAGGCAAACTATCCCTCTTTTCTGATTAAACCACACAAGAGACCGACTTGTTCTGTGGGGTTAGAAGGTGCCGTGAATGAGGCAATGAATGCCTAATATAGATGAAGAGAACTTCTCTCCTCTTTGTGTTTATACTCTGTAGGACTTTAGCACAGGCTGCGCTTCTGCCTCCCTCGGTTAATCAGTACAGCAGGATTGTTTGCATTTTGGTTCTCTCTGGCTTACACTGGGGAGCCCAATTTTCTAAGACAAGTATCTAAATTTAGGCACTTAAAGGCACAGGATTTGGCTCTGAGCCCGAGGGTTAAAGTTCCCCACTTTGCTGTTTGGCATGAAGTGCTCGCTGTAAAAAAACGTATGCAACAAATTAAACTAATTTGAAACGAGTGTTGGTGCTCACCCATAAAGCTAAAAGGTCAGGCACTGAAAAAATAAAAATCTGTGTTTATTGCAGTAGAACTGCTGGTTCACTGACAGCCTCTCTTTCTTTTCTTTCCTGACTAATAATTAGCAATATTTCAGACTCGTTATTATTCAGATTAAAAAAAAAAATCTGCCTTTTTGTACGCTTAAGGAATTGTGATTTCTGTGTCTTTGACAGCAAAGCTACATTTATTATAAATGGGAAAATCTACTTTGAGAAATAAGATCTTGAAGATAATGGTGAAACCAGCTTATAAATAACTGTTCTTGAAAGATGAATTGGGATAAATATTAGAATTACTATTTGACAATATTAGAGATGTCTGGAATGTGAAAAGTCACGTTGAATTCATCCATTCCTTAGCTGCTGCCAGTGGTCTAGGGGAGCCAAGGAGAGCTGCTGTACTCTCGTGTTATGGTTGTGCTTCAGATCTGTGTACATCTCAGCTCCTTCCAAATGTCACCTGCAAGTTTGTGTTTGGAGGTTTCAAGTAGAGCCTGCTGAAACATAGAAATAGTTTCTGATTAAGAAATTGGCTGATATTGCATGTTCTCTCGTTTTGGGTAGAAAATGTAAATTATTCCGCCCATGCAGAATTACATGTGAACTATTGAAAAAGATCAGCCATATTTAGTATTTTTTTTAAAAAGTGACCACTTAGGATGGAAGAATGTCTTTTTCCAGTATTCTTGTGTTTACTATGCTCAGCATATTAATTCTCTTGAAAATCAGTTTGATTTATCGTAGTAAGATAATTAGGTTGCAAACAGTTTATCTTAGCTATTGGATTTACATTTGACTGTAACTAGGAGGTCGATTTTTAAGTTGAGGATGATTCAGAATCTCTTGAAAAATCTCTGTAGAACACAAATATTTGGCTTGTTATTTTAGACAGATATAATTGAATGTAACCTTTGCGATTTTCTCCCCTTACCTTGAGAAATTGGTGGGAAAAATATAGTGCTCAAACTATTAAAAAAAAAAAAAAAAAAAAGAAGAAAAGCCTTCAGCGTTTTTTCTTTCATTGGATTCCAAAAAATATATTACAGTGTTTAAAAGGAATAGCCACAATATTTGGAGTAATCATCTATTTCTCTTTAAAATTTCCATATACTGTTCAGACTCTGTAAAGAGCATGTACACAAACTCAGGTTTTAACTTCCATGTTGGAGACTTCATTTGTGTTCAAGCAGAAACCTCTGTATGGTTTAATGTTGGTAATTTATCACCAGATCGAGAAACAATCCATTGTATTAATCCACAGATCTCTTCTGTGGAACTGGTTTTACATAGAGTCATCACAATTAAGGCTTTGAAAATAACGATGTGTCCTCATCACCCATTACAACCTCCTGGCTGTTGCGGTCGTGAAGGTCTTGTAGAGGATCTTAGAAGCTGTATATGGATCATGATTAGTCATGGAGCCTTGGTTAGTTGTCCCCATGGCTTTTCTCCTATCTTTCTTCTTATGTACCTCTGAATGCTACTGGCTGTCACCTTTACCCTCATGGAGACCAGCTCCTGATGTCACCAAACTGATTTTTGCCTTTTTTTCTATTCCTTAGCTGCAGCAGCTCACAATTCCTACAGTGCTGAGCTCTTTAAAGCTGGATGTGGGAAGTAGGAGCAGGCCTATTGAACATAGTGGCTACTCCTACGCTGCTCGTTTGGTTGGCACCAAAGCTTCTGGGTGGTTGTAGCCTGTAAGGGTGGCTCAGGTACAGCTGAGACAGCTCAAGAAAGATGTGGACCTGTTGGAGCAGGTCCAGAGAAGGCCACAAGAATGATCCAAGGGCTGGAGCAGCTCTGCTGTGAGGACAGGCTGAGAGAGTTGGGGCTGTTCAGCCTGGAGGAGAGAAGGCTCCGGGGACACGTTACTGTGGCCTTTCAATACTTGAAGGGGCCTATAAGAAAGATGGAGACAGACTTTTCAGCAAGACCTGTAGTGATAGGACAAGGGATGATGGTTTTAAACTAAACAGGAAAGATTCAGCCTAGATGTAGGGAAGAAATTTTTTACTCTGAAGGTGGCGAAACCCTGACCCAGGTTGCCCAGAGAGGTGGTAGAAGCCCCATCCCTGGAAACATTCAAGGTCAGGTTGGACGGGGCTCTGAGCAACCTGATCTGGTTGAAGATGTCCCTGCTGACTGCAGGGGGGTTGGACTAGATGGCCTTGAAAGGTCTCTTCCAACCCGAACCATTCTATGATTCTCTGTTTTTGGAAGGCTCCAGATCCCACGTGCCCAAACACTCCCTGGATGGTACATCTTGGACAGACTGTCCACAAGGCAGTTTCCAGATCCCACGTGCCCAAACACTCCCAGCTGGATGGTACATCTTGGACAGACTGTCCACAAGGCAGTTGCACGGCCAAGAAGCAAGTGGGGAAACTGCTGTGGTGACAGCTCTTCTGGTATTTGCACACAGGCCTAATTCATAGGGCTGTTCACGCGGGGAAATAAGCAGAGTTAACGTTTTTTAGGGCACTGAGGAGACAGACAATGGGAGAGTAGCAGTAAGAAGAGCCAGAGTTACGTTACAGCAGCATTGCTGTGTTCTAGTGCTGCATCGTTTGGAGCTTGGATTTGACTTTTGCCTGAAAGGAAGCCCAGCAGAATGCAGGAGCTGGCATTTCCTTGTGGGGCTATTTCTTCTGAATTACAATTTGCACTGCAGCAGGATGGGGAGACATAAAATAAGGCTTTGTGTGCACTTAGCAATTAAAAATTCCAGCGCGAGTGACTGTGGGGTTGTTTTGAACCCAGGCAATTGTCTTATGCCTGAGTTCCTCCTTCAGTTTAATTGGATGTTCTCCACTTGTTGCTAGTACAGTTATGTCTTTTAAAGGGATAAAGGCATTCAGGAAGAAAGTTGGGAATAATTTGTATTTACAAGACATGTAACTGTTGTTTCTGTCTTTGTTATAGTCCACTGATGATAATTACACAGAAGATCACAACACTTGCGTGCCAGTTACATGATGGTAAGAAAAGGAATCTCTTCCTGTGTCCTGAAGACAGCCTTTTTATTCCAGCACATTCCGTGGTTGAGTTATGGGGTGGGTGAATATAGTTCAGTGAGTTGCTCCAAATAAAGAAGAAAAACGCTTTGTGGAGGAAAACTAGAGGCTTCAAGTTCTCTAGGATCAAACTGTCTTTGTGGTGACAAGGACAACTGTTTTCCCCTTTGGATGCTCTACTTCCTTGAGGCCTCATTTGGATTTTAATATCGATATCTGCTGTTTAGATACTCCAGTGTATCTCCGTTAAGCTCTCTGAAGCTGTTCTTGAGTCTCAAAAATCAAGAGTTGTGTTTGACACATAGGTTCAGTCATTAATGTTAACGTAGCTAAAATATGCTATCGATGCTGGTATATATATCATATATATATATATATGTGATATACGCTATATATCATGGAGTATATCATGCTAGATATGATATACTCCTTGAGTTGTGAGAGATGGAATTCAATAGCTTTTTCCCCGTGCAGGGAGAAGCACCCTTGCAAGCAAAATAACATTGTCCTCGGCCTTGTGCTTGTGCTGTGACAAAGAGCACTATTATTTCCCAGTAAAATGCTTGTGTCCAGTAAAGTGCAAAGGCTGGAAATGTCAATTGTTATCAGTACCATTATCACTCATGTCTGCTGTTGTTGCATTGTGAATTTCTGATGGTCCCAGGCCCATTGCACTATAAACTGTGGGTGACTGAGTAAGTAGCCTGCTGTAGAGTTGTTATGATCTGGGATTTAGGTGATGGCCACACCACAGGCTGCAGGGTCTGGCATTGTTCACAAGCCAAGTTTACACAAGCGGGTCTATGCCTTGAGCTGGGTGCAGCTTGAAGCTTGACTAATTGACCTTTTGTTGACATTTATGTTGTTGAGGCTTCTCCACTCTGTTATTTAAGCTGCCAGCTCAGGTATCGCCGTGTGCCAGAGCGGTGTGCAGCTGAGGTGTGTGCCTAGAATATTGAAGGTAAACTAGCAGGCAGAAAGGAAAAGATAACAGTAGAGGCAGGAGCATTTTAAGCAAACCAGAAATCCTACAGATTAATGATGGTGGAAAAGGCTCATTATGTTGTGAACATCCATATATGGAGCAGTTGATCAAATGAAGGCAGCTCGCAGTTCAAGCATTAGTGACAAATCTCTGTTTGTAAAAATTTTAATGCAGCTGCCCATAAATGGGAACAGACAAACAAAATACCCAGCCCTTTAAGTGATTAAGTGCTTATTTGTTTCCCTGGAACTCACACCATCCCAGTGTTTACAAACTGAAATAGCGGGAGAGAGAATGGAAATGAGCAGCTTATCAGCAGTGTTTTTAGGAAATGGGTCTTGTGTGTGTGCATCGGTAATTACGGCCAGTAGGTTTAGAACAGTAGTGTTAATTGATGACCAAGCCCCTGATCTTGTGAAGACATGTATATGCCTGCTCAGCATCACTCATCCTGTGGTGAAGCTGTTCTGCTGAAGCCGGTGGATTCATCACAGTGTGCGCAGCTACAGCTTCGGAGTGAAGGGTTTGAGATACTTGCCGTGAGCAACATCTGTTTACGTGCTGGCCATCACGCAAGATTTTTCTGTGGTTTTCCCAGGACAGCGAGTCTGTGCTCTACCTCTGGCCCCAAAGGTCTCATGCACTCAACAGGAGATGGCCCTTCCAGCCTGGACCCTGTACAATTCCAGATCATTACTGATGTATGTGTGTTGAGGCTCGCTGCAGCAGCAGGCAGCCGGGCCACTCGTTCACACCAGCAGAGTTTCTTAGAAGCCCATTTCTCTTCCACTGCCCAATCCTCCTGCTGTGAAATGCTCCATTTCTCACCAAGGAGCCAGCAGGAGACTTATGCTTAAATGAGCCAACAGCTTCTGGGAACAGAGGTTTTTCCAGTAGAGGCTGCTGAGGGCCCCTGCCCGTTGGTGGCATCACGAGTTGCATTATGTGTGTGTGGGAATATTGTTATTGCTCTTCCAGAAAGTGTAGCATGGGTGAGAAAGGGGGAATGAGGGAAGGAACTGGGTACAGAGCTAGGGTCAAACATGAATATGTTTGACCTCAGAGTTAGGAATTGAGCTGTATTACAGCTGCCTGTGACAAAGAAATGGCTTTAGAAAGTTATCTGTGGGATAACGTTCACTGTTTGGCTTTCAGGAAGATCTAACGGGACTTTTCTTTCTCTCTAGGGATAGGGCGACAAGCTGAGGAACTCACTGCTGAGCAGAATCGGCTTGCTGTAAAGTAAGAATTTAATTCTCCTCGTGATTCATGTTTAATTTCATCTAAAGAAGTTTAGGGATTGTGGGATTTTTTGTTTGTTTGTTTGTTTGTTTTTTTTTTTCTTCCTTTGGAATATCAGGACCAACTTAGCAGCCCAGCCATGAAAATGTTCTCTGCTTCTTCCCAGTCCTTAATAAGCCAAAAGTCCTACCTGCTTTTTCTATTTCCTTGGGCAGTTTTGTTTTTGTAATGCTGCTGTTAGTGCCCTCCTTAGACATACCTTCCCTGCTATATTCCTTATTTCTTCAGTTCAGGACTTCTGCCTTATATCCCCTTGTACTGGTCAGTAAAGCACTGAAGTACTTGGCAACATCTCATTGACTTAAATATGTTCTCCACATACAACAAAACTAGTCTTTGCTGAATCAACTCTTTTATGTTCAGGCTAAGACTTGTACTGTGTGGCCTTTTGGGCTGTTGTCTTCATCCTATCTGTGGTATGTTAGTTTTCCAAGTAGAATACTCCTCTGTCAGCAAACCACTGCATAGTAAAAATCCATTTTGGTTTGACTCTGACACTTCAAGAACTGCTTTTCTTTGCTATAATTTTTGAACACTGAAATTTTATTTTTCCTTTCTCCCTCTGTAATGTTAATAGTCCTAGTCCTTCATGTTATGTGACTAGTCTTCTCATTTTTCAGAGGGAAACAGCATGTTGATCATATGTTTGAACACCCTTTTTTTTCTATTTTGTCTCTCAGTACAAATGCAAGTGAATTCTTTTTTATTTTTATTTTTTTTAGAAGAATTAGTGTTACAGAATTAGTCTTAGAACCATAATGACTTTTCACCATACAGTGTTTGTTTAAGACCAAGGAAATTATTTCCTTCATTTCCAAGGCAGAAGATTCAGCCATCAGAAAAATCAGCCTGTGAGCTTCTAAAAGTAGGAAAGGAATAATTTATTGAAAGGCAAATATCCAGTAGGGAGACTCGTATAATTTTTTTCCTGTGACCTATAGCTTTGTGTCTGTCTTTAAAACTCACAGCACAATGTTAAAGTGTGCTGAACCATTGTAACCATATGATTAATTCTAGTCAAATTCTCACCAAACAGGCTTTTTTTTTTTTTCCCCTTGTACAGTGGATGAGGTCATAATAGAGAAGTACATGCCAATAACTCAAGTGTCGGTGGCGATCGAGTCATAACTGAAGAGTTTTAAATCCCCTTTGGTAATACAGCCTTTTGTCTTCCCCCCTGTTCTGAGTCTGGTTTTGTTTCTCACTCATCCTCTGTACATTCCTTCGTGCATTGCTCATGTTGCTCCACCCACCCGTGTTCAGAATCTAAGCTGAAACTAATGACTTTATTTTTAATCTTACTATAGAGCTCAGAAGCACAAATCAGGGACCTGATTTTGCAGAACAGAAAGATAAGCCTTTACCCCAAATTGATCGCTGTATCTTTCTGTGAAATTATTTCACCAGAGAACTTACCATTCAGGCACTAACATCTACAATAACCAGCAGAAAATCCTGCCTAAGCCAACTGTTTATTCAAGCTAATTCCACCTCAGAGTAAAAGTAGACAACAGCAAATGTTTAACTGTTGCTGAGCTTTTCTGCTAGAAATTTATGTTTTGGTCTGAAAGAATTTTAAGTGGGTTTTGCTTTATGCATGTCCATCTGTGTCTTGGACAGGAAAGTCTTGAAACACGCTGCCCCAGTTTCTGTTCTCATCTGGGGACTCCTCGTTTCCTTGGATGGTGACTGTTAGCAGATTGGTGGAGAGCACTGTGCATCTCAGTGCAGAACTTAGGCGTTGGTGTTTTCTGCCGTATAAATAAAGCAAGCCCAACAGTTCACAAATGACATCAGCAGTGAGAGGCCTGTGCATCTTTCTTTTCCATCCTACTGATCGGTAGCAAGGACAGTGGATCTTCTACATTTTTACATTTAACCCCCTGAGGAACTTGTGGGATGTGCAGTTGCACAATGGAAATAACGAACACTTTGCCTTTCATCTTCAGCTGTCTTTTGGTTTGTGCGTGTTTTTTTCCCGTAGTTCTTTTTCCTGTTTGCAATGAAATGCAGGCAATTACTTCCTTTATGTGCACAGTAGGACAGAGTGCCTCTTCCTCTGTAGCTCGCTCACGATTCCCATTTTTCAAAAGGCTGAGCTGAAGGGTGGGTGAGAGCTCCTCGCAGACCTGAGAGTCCTGGTCTGAAATGCTCCCTTCCCTGTGGTTTGCATCACAAGGCAACGGACTGCATTGCACCACTTGGTGAGACCAGCGTTACTCAGCTTGTGGTCTGCCAACTGTTACTGCTCCCTAACACAGTGGACAGATGTTCAAAACCAGTTACCAGCTTCTTGCTCCTGGTACTGCTGGCCTGTTCAAAATCGTGGTGATGATTTAGAATTCTTTACCTTGAAACCTCCGTATCAGCATTCAGTTTCAGAACTTTTTTATGCAATTAACATGGCCATTAGGTCATGGAATGATTTGGGTTGGAAGGGACCTTTCAAGGTCATCTAAGTCCAACCCCCCTGCAATCAGCAGGGACATCTTCAACCAGATCGGATTGTTCAGAGCTCCGGCCAACCTGACCATGAAAATGCACAAGTCAATTTGTTTGAGAGTGGGTATTTAAATTTAAGACTGTTTTCCATAGAATCACAGACTGGTTTGGGTTGGAAGGGACCTTTCAAGGCCATCTAAGTCCAACCCCCTGCAGTGAGCAGGGACATCTTCAACCAGATCAGGTTGCTCAGAGCCCCATCCAACCTGACCTTGAATCTGTTCTTGAACTAAAATGTTTCTAGTAATAAGAGTACAAGTTTTCAAATCAATATCATTAGTTCACCTGTAGCTTAAGCACTTCCATGTTACCCTTGTTCTGACTGCCATCTGCCAGACATCACTGGGCTATAAGAGAGGCTGTGCTGCATCTTCCCCAAAACAGATCTAGAGAGCTCTCAGCTGGGGGGAAGGTGGTGGGAGAGAGCTGGGGACTGAGGCAGACAGTACAACAAAAAGCTTTTGCAAAAGCCTTTGCTGTGTTTGACCTCGTTTTGCTTTGTTTGGTTTTGTTTTGTTGTGTGTGGGTGATATTCACAGGACAAGACCTTCTTTACTGGAGTATTTAAGCTATCTCCTCAATTTTATGAGCATCATAGCTGGGCCTTGCAGCAATTACAAGGATTATATCGCCTTCATTGAAGGGAGGCACGTGCACATGAAGCTGCTAGAAGTGAACTGGAAGCAGAAGGGTTATGACAGACTTCCTGATCCTTCTCCAACTGTAAGTTTTAAAATGACAAAGATTTATTGCAGAGGGCGGGGGAGTATGGCTTTGTACACAATTCTCATAATTAAAAACTAAGAAGAAAAAACATTTTTGGGTTATCTTCTTGGTAAATGTTACAGAGGTTTTTTTTCTGTGAAGTGGCTGCTGTTTTTATAACAGGGTCAGGGGTGAAGGGGCTGGTGTCTTCCTCTTGAATTCCCCAAATACATTTGGCTTGCAAAACGGGTCATTGGTTAATGAGCGTCCTTTGTGCAGCAGTGGGAACGGTCCGCAGGTTCTGACAACAACAGAGTTGCAGTTCAGAGCTCCAAACAGAAGAGAAAATGGCAGGGAAAATAAAAAAGTCAAATCACACCAGTAGTGCAGGAGAAGTTAGAGGTACGTGAATCACAGCTAATCAGAAACTAGCTTGTCTAGGGGCTTTGCAAGAGAATCTCACACTTTAAGATGAACTCGGAAGTCATTTTTCACATACAAGTCACACTAGTTTGTTGTTTGGGGTTTTTTTTTTAGTGTTACTTCAGACCTTATAAAATGACCTTGTAAAGCAGGATAGCACAGCCTGAGAACCAGATTCCTCTCTCTTTCCTTATGATGACACTGAATGTGGAGCTTTGTGAGTGCAGAATGTTTCCTCCAAAACAGGGTACATGCCTATACATACCTGATTCCTGTTGCACATGGTTGTATTTTTACCCACTTCAGTGGTGTTAATTCTGATTTATATCAGTCTGCCTGAGGTCAGAATAAGGCCTGTATTGTGTTAGATGCAAGTCAGCAGAGAATATTAATTTTTTCATTGTAACCATTTAAAGATAATGGCTCATTAATTTATTCCTGAAAATGAAGAAGCTATAAAAAGAGTACCTAGGATCAAAAAATGCACTGTTCTGTCAGTAGTATATTGCACTTTTATTAGTCTTTTGAGAACGCGAGTCAGTTTTTACATGGTACCCAAGTGCCAGATTTACCTTTTTAATCATGACTGTATCAAAGAGAGTTTAATCCTGATGTGTATTTGAAATTGAGCTTCTTAACTACTGATATGATTGTAAATAACATCAGAATATAGAAAGCTAGGGAGCGATAATAGAAGACAGGATGGTGTAGCAGAGACTCTGTAGCATGGGAAGGCATTCGTGCTGTGTAAGACGGACACTTTTTGGACAAGTGATCTTTATCAAGATCTGTGTATGTTAGCTGGACAGTATGACCCACTATTGTACTGAATACTGATGCTCTTGGCTTCCAGGAGAAATCTGGTCTTTAGATCCAGGAGATGATAGTTCACATAGAGAAGACTTCCCTACATTTTAGGGTTTGGTTTTTTGTTTGTTTCCTTTCTCATTTTAGGACCTTTGCTAACTGATGTAGGAGTCTTTTGTGAAGTTCATGACCAGTTTTGACTTCTAATTGTCCTTTGTATCTACCTATAGGTAGTTCAGTAAAACAAATTAAACCAGAGCTTTGACTGTGACCTTTTCTTTGTTACCTGTTTTAAATTAATTATCAACTTTGTCACTGCTAACTTTATTTGTTCTTGAAGTGCATTGTTTTTGTATGTCATGAGTACTGCAAATGTTTCTAATGAATGTTCCATTGTTGTTTGTGCTTTTTAGGGAGCAGTGATGTACAAGCTGTGTATCACACTAGTATATCTCATTTTATTCTTGACACTTACCAAGAACTTTCCTATGGCATATATTATTGATAATGAATTTCTTGATAAAACACCCTTCTTGTCAAGACTTGGTTACCTGTATGTCGTAACACAGGCAGCAAAACCAAAGTATTACTTTGCATGGACGTTAGGTAAGTCTGGCTACATCGCTTCTTTTCGTGGGTAACAAATAAGTTCCTAAAGGAGGGAGGGAGTCTGAAACATCCTGGGGAAACAAAAATAAATTAGTCCCTAGACCTGTAGTTCCCGTGGGAGACACACACAACGCAACCCTGTTGAAGAGAGGAGATGTCAAAAGTTTTGAAAAACGTGCATAAGATCTCCTCTAGCTTGTCTGACGTGCCCTGCCTCCGGAACCAGATCTGCTTTTCAGCTTCTTGCCAGTCATGTCAATGTAACAATTTTCTCTTATTTAAAACTTTGTAATTGTACCAAAATATTTTTTACAGGAATTCTTGGGAGGGGGGGGAGGGGGGGGGGGAAATTTGGCTCCTCTTGCCTCCTCTAAACCTTGATTTTTATGCTTTATTTGTAATTTGCCACTTAGTGGGGTTAGGAGGTTAAAATTGGTCAAGCTGGCTCAGGCTTTCTCAATATGTTGTAATGCAAACAGACCTCTCTCTTCCTACGGGACATCTTTAGCGCACACATCCGTATCAGAAAGCTGTAGTACTTGTTGGGGGACTGAGGTTAGGCTTTGCTTCTGTGGTCCTGGGCACACAGTAGCTTTGAGCCATCAAGAGGAAGGATTGGAGAAGCATGGGGAAGGTGGGGAACGAAGGAGACCCAAGAATCTCTGCAAGGGAAAGGAGAAGAGAAGGAAGAGGGCTTGTTATAGAGGGAAGCAAATTTCTTTTATTGGGAGCCAGCTAGACTGGTGCTCCTAATAATCTTTTTATATTTTACTTTCTTCCTTTTGAAGTCTGTATTTTGTATTTTACTTTCTTCCTTTTAAAGTCCTTTTAAAGTCACCTTTCTCATCTGTGTGTGAGGAGTCAAATCCTTCCAGGCCAGGCTGAATTGCCATGCCAGAACTGGCATGTGTGGGATGGGAAAGGCTTTGGGATAAAGAATTGCTTGCTCAGAAACTTATTTTTGTGGGATCCAGTATTAAATTGTTGCCTCTATTTTTTTTTTTTTTTTCTGGCATTATAGTTACCTAAAAGTCCGTTATCAAAGAGATAAACTGAACTTGGGTTTGTGATGTGACTAAGCCTGTAGAGGCTGTAGAAATATCTTCCAAATCAGGGATTTTGAGAAAGGCATGTGTTGCACTCCGGAGGGTGAGGCCTCTGTTATTCACACTGCAAATCCAGGCAGACATCTGATGCTTCTGTGGTTTAGCTCTCAGTGGCGTGGCCCAGGGCGTTCTGAAAGTGCCTGCTGAAACGGCCGATAAGGGCTTCCTGTCCTCAGAAAAGGACAGTCACACCATTGTGCAAGAGCCACGCTGCTGAATTCCTGCAGATCCATGGAAAAAATGGAAAATTCGGCTTCTCGCTGCATTAGCAAATAGTCGTGGGAATGTGCCTGCAAAACCTGAAGGGGCTACAAGAAAGCTGGAGAGGAACTTTTTATAAGGGCAGTTAATGACAGAACAAGGGGAAATGGCTTTAAACTGGAAGAGGGGAGGTTTAGATTAGATAGTAGGAAGAAATTCTTTGGTGGGAGGGTGGTGAGACAGTGTCCCAGGTTGGCCAGAGAAGCTGTGGCTGCTCCTCCCTGGGAGGGTTGAAGGCCGGGGCTCATTTGGGGGGCTGCTGCTGGCAGGGGGGTTGGGGCTGGGTGAGCTTTAAGGTCCCTTCCAACCCAAACCAGTCTGTGATTCTATAAACCAGTTTGGGACTGAGTGCCTGCGTCCAAGGGGCTGTGAAAACGATAATGCCAAAGCTGTGCAGGTCAGCAGGGAAACATCAGCGGGGTTTTGTGGAGATTGGGGTTTTGTAGGCAATTTGAGGGTGGACAGTTGTAATTCTTCTGTGCTTCACACCTTGCTCTGCAGACAGCAGCTCAGGAAGCGAGAGACTGACAGGTCTGCTGATTATTACATCCCTGGATTTCTGGTTTCTTGCTTTTTGCAAAGAAACACTTAAGTGGTCCCTGCCACCCTTAGAGCAAGGAAGAGCAAACCCAGGGGTCCCCCTGCTCTGGCGTGACAGTTAAGTGCAGCTCCAGTCTCTGAGATTGGGCAGGGTCCTATGGGCCAATTTCAGGCGAGCATTTTTTGGTTGGTTTTATGTTTTTTAAACAGAGAATAAAAACTTGTAGACCTTTCTTTCCATCAGTAAAATCTAACTAATTTAGTAAAGTGGAAAATAAAACTGAAAGTTTCAAATTCGAGAAGGTTGCTTATTTATTTATTGTTAGTCTTGCTGCTTTTAATTAGGTTCTTCCTCTGGTTTTGTGCTTTGGGGCTTCTCCATGAGCTTGTGCCTGTACTCATAGCATTTATGAAACAAAATCAATTTTCATTCTTGGGAAGGAAATGCTGACCTTTTTAAAGCATAACTTAACCAGACTTGTATTTTGTAAATTATCTAGAAGGAAAAGCCTTACCTATATTTCTACTTTCCTTTTTTTCTTCCAATAATCCTCAGTGTCAGCTGCACCTAGAGATCCAGAGATAACAAATCCCTTCTGGTTTTTTAATACTCTGGAGAGAGGATTTCTGGCAGGGGCACATTGAAAGCAGAATCTTGAGACCCAGTTATGAGGTGACTCCCAGGCAAGGCTGGGAGGGGAAGCGTCTACCCAGCATCCTGGGAAAGAGCAAGAGTGCAGCACGTGAAACACCTGCTGTCACCCGAGCTTTTTATTTGCATTTGAAGTAGTTAAGTCTGTAATTGAAGTTACTCAATATTTGATTTGTAGAGATGGTGAGGTACTTTAATGAGGCACTGAGCAACAGGATTAACAAAAGGCTTTGTCTGTGGAAGTATGAATGAAAGTCTTAATTAAAACAACCATGTTAGAACTCTTAGTGGCAGTGGTAAACACGTCTTTGAGACACTGCAGTTTTTCTGAATTCTGGAAAATGCTGTGACATGCAGGTACTCTTTTGAGGAAAATGCTGCTTCATTTTATGGTAACTCTTGTGTATCTTTCTCAGATGAATAATAAAAGCAAAGTAATGGGAAAAGTTATTCCTATCCATTGCTATTTTATTTTTGGTTTATTATTTTATTTCCTCTGCCCAAGGAGTAGCTAGTCTTTCCTCTTGAGGCAGTTACTCTTGTGTTGCCTTGTAGCAATGCCCCTTTGCCAAGAGGAAGCTTCTCTGTGAAAGAGAGGATGCTAATTGCTACAAAGCTGGCTTGAATGTGTGTTTGGTGCCACACTGACTCGCAAGGAAACCTGGCTCCTCCAGCAGCCTGATTGGACCTGTTTTGCTTTGACGTTGCAGCTGATGCAGTCAACAATGCAGCTGGTTATGGATTCAGTGGAGTTGATGAGAGGGGCACTTTCCGCTGGGACCTGTTGTCCAATTTAAATATCTGGAACATTGAGGTGAGTTAAAGGAGTGGCTGTATTAGCATAATTATAGAGAAATGGGCATGATAACGGAGAGAAGCTTTGGGGAAAGGAAAGTAAGTCCATGCCACTAGGCTGCCCTTCTTTAATTCAGAAGGGTTTTGTGTGTTATCTGTTGAGCAGATAAAAAGCATCTGTCATGCAGCCTTCGTCACGCTCTGTATTCAAGTTGCATTTCTAAATAGTTTATAGAGGGCTAATAAATGATTAATCAGATGTTTAATAAATGAGCAGTCAATTACTGTAGATTGTGGCTGAGTTCAGTGGGTCAATAAATTGCTTGCAGCTATGATTCCCCACCATCTGTGGTGTATTCTGTTTATTTACTTCTAATAGTCTTGCACTTCTGTAAGGCAGTTTGGGTGGTGGCAGTGAAGGAGGCCGCCACGAGCAGGCATTACACAGACACTTGCAAGGGCTGGGTCCCTGCACATTTCTGGAGTGTCTCTTGGTAGATGGAGAAAAGCAAAGGTTGGAGAGAGAACAGATCCAAACTGAGCAACCTCAGTGGGAGCTGCAAGGACCACAGAGAGCTTAGATGGCTGCTGATCTAGAGCTCCATCCGCTGTTTCTCAAAACATCTGCCACACACGTTTCTTGTCACTGCAGAATACTTTTAACATCCATTACTCTTTTGTAAGTTATTTATGTTTGTTTCTCTAACACAAAAGATGGCAGATGTCATTTGTTTGCCCCAAAGAATAATGGGGGATTGGACTAGATGATCTTTCGAGGTCACTTCCAATCCCTAACGTTCTGTGTGTGAATATTTTGTGAATGCCAGTGGGATGGGAAAATGTTTGTCTGAGACTGCTTTCTGAAGGCTTCTTTACTTTAGAAATAGGAGGAGCTTCCTCCTGTAATTCTGTAGTTACGATTTTAAAAGGAAAAGCAGATGAAAATAAGTTAACTGCTTTATTGGGCAGTTAATAACAAAACAAGGGGAAATGGGTTTAAGCTGAAAGAGGGGAGGTTTAGATGAGATATTAGGAAGAAGTTCTTCACTGTGAGGGTGGTGAGACACTGGAACAGGTTGCCCAAGGAAGTTGTGGATGTCCCCTCCCTGGAAGTGTTGAAGGCCAGGTTGGATGAGGCTTTGAGCAACCTGGTCTAGTGGAAGGTGTCCCTGCTGATGGCAGGGGGGTTGGGACTGGATGAGCTTTAAGGTCCCTTCCAATCCTAACCATTCTATGATTCTATGATTGCTGAATGATCTGTCACTAAGTAAATGTGCTTTAATAGCTCTTCTCAAAAATGAAGGAACCCTTGTATTTCTTCATTGAAAGACACCAAAACTTGAAAGTATTATTTTACGTTTTCTCAGTCTCAACATCCTTTCTCTGTCTCTCTCTCTCTTTTTTTTTTTTTAACCCAATTAATCCTGAGTGTACATCTCTCCCTGAGCAGTATACATTACACTGCCCAGAAACACCTTATACTCCTTGATGGTGGCAGCACCCTAGATACCACTCTGAGATCTTGAATAAATGATTCAGTTTTGGGAAAGGAGATGATTCCTGCCTTGATGGGCTGAGGCAATTCCTGCTTGAAGGAGGAAAGTGAAGTGCAGGAAATGCTCTTTAGTTGAGCCACATTAAGGAATAAGGAGCCTTTGTGCTTCTCTGCCTACTGAAATGCAGACCCCTCAAAACTTTTTTCTTTTACTGGTCACACGGGCAATAGAGATCAGGGTGGAGAAATTATTTCCAGGAGCTGTCCATTGATTTGATCATGTGTGCAGCGAGAAGAGAGGCTGCAGAGACCATTGCTTTGGGTAAGCCTTGACCTGTCACTTTATACACCAACACCAGTTCCAGGAGTTGCAGTTTAAGTGTGGTTGTACAGTGCATTTTCAGCAAGTATAGCCACCTGTTTATGTAAAATTGTTTAAGAGTTGAGAACCTGAGTGCTAAATGTGGCTAAGAATGACCTGATCTGTAGTAAAGATAAAACACATGGCAGGAGAGTTGTGAGGGCATTAAAATGTGACGGGGGCTAAACACATGTAGGGGACTTGAAAGCCTTGGCAGCGTATTTTGACAGCCAGTGACTACTTGGTCTCTTGGTAATGTTGCAGGGGAACTTAAAGAAGGCCAAAAGAAAGGAGACAATATTAGCTGGAAGAGAAATTATATTTTTCTTGGCTTCTCTTGGTGCAGTAATGCAATTAAAATGTGGCAGTACTGCACTGGGAATTGCTAATCATTTTAACACTTGAAACACAGAGGATAACATGCCAGCCTTCAGGATTCTGTGTGGAAGTGCAAAATTATCTGCATATTCCCCTTGGAAACCTTTGCCTTTAATCCATCTTTTCAGTGTGCCCTTCCCTTCAGCTGATATGGAACAGTAATGTGGTGACACTGAATCATGTCCCTGCTTGGTGAGGAGGTCCTCGGAGGTTTCTGTCAGCAGGCGAGGAACAAGGGGGAGCAGGGATGGGGGACCACCAGGGGTAAAGTTGACCAGAATTAGAGGAACTGATGCTGAATGGAGTCCAGCAGTCCCCTAAAACTGGGGGAACTGGTGCTGTGAGGAGGTATGGGTGGTTCTCCCAGGACCCTAGAGTCCACTCTGGTTTTTCAAGCTGGGCAGTGGGCTGAGAACTGTCTTCTAAATTTAATCCTAATTTTTTTTTCCCATGTTTTTGAGTCTTCCCCTTTCCTTCTCCAAATAATAAAGCATTTCTTTTAGTTTTTGTAACACTTTGTTTTCATAACACTCTAGGGAAGCCCAGACTTGCGTAATGGGTGGCAAGATATCTCTTCCAAAAATGAAGCTGTTTCCGAACTGAAGGGAAGGCCAGGCATTTAGAACAAGAAAGCTTTTCAGATTTCCCATAATTTGAAAAATAACCAGGCATTGTATTTAATTTTATAAACCAAAGTGAGATTTTACAGCAAACTCCAAGTGTTATCAGTGAGCAATCAGCATACTAGTGTAACGATGGACTGTGTCACAGCTTCTGCAACAGTTAGCTATGATAATTAATATTTTTCCATGTATCTCCTCTCTAATTTCAAATGCAAGTACTATTTTACAGGTTTCGGGGCTAACGTTCATGTGAACTTCTTTCTTAGACTGCAACGAGTTTTAAAATGTACATTGAAAACTGGAACATTCAGACAGCTGCCTGGTTAAAACGGTAAGAGTAATGAAACAGTAAAGTGCTTGTGAGACCCAGAAGCTCTAGATGGCCTGCAGGACCACTGCCTGATGAACCTCATAAATGTATAACCTCTCGTCTGGCTTTGTTTCCTTTGTCTGTAACAGTTGGGGGAATACAAGGGTGTTTGGTGCTGTAAAGTTTTATTGCTGCAAATGTAAAATGCCCGCGTTTTATATATGAGCAGCGAAGCCATAAAGGAACTGCTCAGATCTTCCATCATAAAAACTAACAGCATTTTGATGGTGTTTTTTAGGCTGCTCTTTGCCTCCATTATTCTGGCTGTACTGTTTCACTTTGCTGTGTTATATTTCCCATGCTTACCACTGCTGGAGGCGAGCCTTGTGTCACTGGGATCCAGTTCAGCTAGAACTAGAGAGAAGTCGAAATCTTCAAAGCCCCAGTGTAGTCCGGTTTGGAGTTACCAGAAGATGCTTGCCAGGGAGTCCCTGTTTAGGATATGGAGAAGAGACTTTTTATAGCACTGAGAAGATCTGACTTTAACCTGTGATTGTCAAGGCACATATAAATACTCACATAAGTCCAGGTTTAGTAGATTGAACTGTTTCCTGTTACTACTTACACTTTTTTTGGTGTGATTAGAGCCCACTGTACAGTCAATGTGAGGTCTGAAATGCTGGCACGGATTTTTTTGTGGTTATCATAACTGGTTTTTGTTTTTAAATATATACATCTTAAAAGTCAGTGTCTACTATTTTTCATGATTCAAATTATGTTCCTGATAAAGAAGTGCATTATCTCAACTCGTTTCTTTGGAACACAGCATTTCAGTTAAAGCTCGGATAGCCAAAGAGACTGGTTGGTGTGTTCTTGAACTGTTATCATTCACTTGTGTCTTTTGAGTAAGGTTTTGGCCCGATAAAGTTAGGAGGAGCCCTCTGCTTTACACTAGCTTCTGACACTCCCTGTTGTTCCCAGATAACAGTGCCTAAAAATACCTCTATTACCAGAGAAGAGTGGGGTCACGTCTCTGCCCTTCGACTTGCTCTTGATCTGCCATCAGAGTTTTGGAGGGTAGCGTGTGATTCCAGAGGGAGGTCTAAAGCTGAAAGAGAGTCTTGCCTGCCCTTTGCCCAGTTATTTATTTAAAAGCTGTGAGCTCAGGGAGTATTTGTGCAGGTGCCCTTTGGATACTCAGTGCATAAAATCATACTTACTCCTTCCATCTAACCCTCCATGTCAGCGAAGGCTGAGTGCCTCATACCCTCATCTGTGACAGAGGCAAGAGAAGAGCATTAAGAAAACAGAACAAGGCCCTTAAAACCAGAGAAGGATTTGAGGTGCAGTGTCCATTGTTCAGTTGCATTCAACCTCTCCTTGTTTTGTTTTTGTCTCTGCAGCGTTTGCTACGACAGAGCTCCCTGGTACCCTACGGCTTTAACGTTTATCCTGTCGGCCCTGTGGCATGGTATCTATCCTGGATATTATTTTACGTTTCTCACTGGAATCCTTATCACACTGGCAGCCAGAGCAGTATGTACCTTTCATTGTTCACTTCTAAGGCCCGTGCTAGGTACTATCCAGCTGTCAACTGCTGGAGCCCTGGCACAGTCAAACAGCTTGTCCCTGCTTGTAAGCCCTATTTCATGCCTTTATGGGGTTGATGTTCACTGAAACTTTGTTCTGTGTTGATGGTAATTACAAAGTGCCCCCAACAGTTATAACCAACACCAGTTCTGCCCATGCTGCAATATTGTCCCTGGCTGTCAGAGGAGATGTTGCTTGTGAGCATACAGGTGGTAGTGCCACCAGCTATGTCCATGCAGTCAAATTAGTTTGAGATTCAAGGTGAAGCTCGAGTCCAGACATTTGTTAGGTCATGTTGGAGTCCAGACTTCTGCTAGGTCGTGTAATTGGCTCTAGGCCCAGTCTTCCACAAGAAGCTGTTACAAGTTGAGCATTAGCCCAAACTTGAACTCTTTCATGTGGGTGTAATTGATGCATTAAACTCTGTGTTTATGGTCTTCATCTTGGGTAGAGCCACCAAAGACAAAACAGATTTTGTGTCTCACTGTTGTTAAATTTGTCACTGCTGATCTTTCAGGCTGAACCAGCCAGTTGTGCAGGGCTGGGAAGCACCACCATGTTCTTTCAGAGTTTTACTATGGATAAATAACGAGGGCAATTTGAAAGGTAAATTAAAATAGTGATCAGTATTAATCACTAAGGCTAGAGCAGGTTGCTGAACATGTGACCTTAACGTGTGCTTTGCCTCTCACTTATGAGGATTTCATAAATGTGAAGCTAAACCAAATTCTCTAGGGAACAGCACACACTTGCAGGTATATTTGTTCATTTAAAGTAGAATCATAGAATCATTTAGGTTGGAAAGACCCTTAAGATAATTGACTCCAACTGTAAACCTAACACTGCTGAGTCCACCACTAAACAGTGGCCCTGAGCACCACTTCTACATGTCTTCTAAATACCTCCAGGGATGGTGACTCAACCACTTCCCTGGGCAGCAGTTCCAGTGCTTGACAACCCTTTCAGTGAAGAAATTTTTCCTAATATCCAACCTAAACCTCCCCTGGAGCAACTTGAGGCCATTTCCTCTTGTCCTGTCACTTGTTGCTTGGGAGGCCCACCTCTCTCCACCTTCCTTTCAGGGAGTTTCAGAGAGCCAGAAGGTCTCCCCTCAGCCTCCTTTTCTCCAGGCTCAACACCCCCAGTTCCCTCAGCCACAAGGGAACTCAGCACACTTGTGCTCCAGACCCTTCCCCAGCTCCGTTGCCCTTCTCTGGACATGCTCCAGCACCTCCATGTCCTTCTTGGAATGAGGGGCCCAATACTGAACCCAGCACTTGAGGTGCAGCCTCACCAGTGCCCAGTGCAGGGATATGATCAATTCCCTACTCCTGCTGGCCACACCATTTTTGATACAGACCAGGATGCTGTTGACCTTCTGGGCTACCTGCACACACTGCTGGCTCATGTTCAGCTGGCTGTTGACCAAGTAACTTTGTTTCACCACTGAGAGAACCAGTAATAAATCAAATCCAGGAGGTAGGAAGTTCAAATTATTACAACTTCTGTCTCCAAAGATGACTGTGCCAGGTACTCAGCATGAGTCTTCTCCCATGATTATGACAGAGGAAGTTGGAAGACACTTTTCCATTTGCTGCTGGTTAGCTGTGGGATCTTGGATATGCCAGTGAATACACTTCCACCTTCCTCCTCTCAGTACTTTCTAACTGGTGTATAAACTTTTCTGTAATACTGATGCTGATGATAAGTGGAGGCTCATAAGCTACAATGCATCTGCGTGACTTTGCCTCAGAAAGGAGTTTATGTAATTTTCTGTTTTCTTTTTCCTGCCCTGCAGATAAGAAACAACTGCAGACATTACTTCCTCTCGTCCGTGCCTCTCAAGATAGCCTACGACGTTGTCACCTGGGCTGTCACTCAGCTGGCCGTGTGCTATACTGTGGCACCATTTGTTATGCTGGCTGTTGAGCCCACCATTAAATTTTACAAGTAAGTTCTCTCCTCTTGATTATTATTCTCCAGACCGGCACAGGTTTTTGTTAAGTAACCCAAACCACACTGAAAGGCAGTTGACATTTCATCAAATTTGAAAGGAGTTCAAACAGGATGCTTAATAATGTGTAAGGGGGTTAGACTAGATGGTGTTTAAAGGTCCCTTCCAAGCCAAACCATTCTATGATTCTATGATTTTTGCACTCCCATAACTTAATTACTAATGCCGAGGCAGAGCTCCTCTACTTCTCAGTCTTCCTGTGACTGTCCCTATGTGACTTCTCACCTATCCAGGTTCCTATTTCAAAACAGTCACGTTTCAGCCATTAGCAGTAGCTGAGGCTGACGAGGTTAAGAACGACGTGAGTTGGCAGTGGGAAGAACTCGGTGAGAAAAGACCAGATTTCCAGCTGCTGAGTGCGTAGGACATTCAGAATGTGTGGAACAGAAGATGTGATTGATCAGCAGGAGAGAAGGAGGGTGCCTGGCAGAGCGTTCCTTCTTGAAAAGAATAGGCTTTTCCTTTTGAATACTTCCATAGGATGTGAATACTTCTCTAGGTTCCTTAAAAATAAGAAAACACTGGTGTTGCAGAGTATGTTGGATATAATCTGATAAAAAATAATTTGAAATAGAGAAAATAATTTGAAAAGGGAGACCAGACTATGTTGTTTAACTGTTCTTTCATTCTGCAGTTAGCTGTCAACATAGAATCACAGGTTTTGCTTGAGAAGAAAGACAGTTCCCTGCTCTAGTATAAAAGACATAAATCTCGTGGTAGTCAAGATAGCTGCTGTGAGTCAGTCTGTTCAAAAGGGGTTAAATTTTGACATTTGCTGTTCCAGTTTCTGAAAACATTTGATTGCAACACATAGAACTTACCATATAAAAACTACTCCCATTCTCAGTTTTGGTAATATGCCTTCCCAACTACTTTTTTAATATCTAATTTTTCTGTCTTTCAAGACAAAAGTAGCAAATAGCAATCAGAAAAAAAAGAAGAGAAAAGACTAAAATATTACACTGGTTTATAACTTTGCCCCATGAGTGAAGCTGATCCCCTTTGTGCTACAAAAGGCTGTTCCATGTAGTACATATTGAATGTCATTCTGTGAGATCACATTGCTAACATCAAAACTACAGAAATAAATATATGTAAATAACTTGTTAGCACTGTGCCAGCAGCCATGAAGGCAGAAATGTTATTTTTACCAAAGTTCTGAACAAAGAAAATGATTTTACACCCTTGCCTCAAGTTGGGTCATCACCTGAATATTGTTTTGCCCTAGAGACTTTGAACACAGTTAAACTTAGACAGTTAAGCAAGGGAATTGTAGGCCTTTGGATAAGGGCGTGATGTTTTGGAGCACTGGACACCTAGCAGTTGTCTTAAGCACTTTACAAGGATATTAAGAACTACGATAAGAAGCGTAAATGAGACCATAGCAAGGTGCATCTCTCTGGTTAAGAGCTGGACTGTACTGCTCCCAAACGTCATCCTCACCGAGCTCCCAGAGCCTCATGTAATTGGTTTAAGTATTTTTGATTTCTGTTCAATCTTATGTGTACCAAATTATTTGAAATATTTGATATTTAATAAGATATCAAATAAAGATATCTCTGAGTAGTTGCTTTCAAAAACACAACCTTTCTGTAAACATAATTACCTGACCTTCACCAGGTAAAAACCGAGTGTTTTGGTTTATTTTGAATTTCAGCAATTGGAATGGATTTTTTTTCTGTCACTTTTAATTTTTTTTTTAAAGTTGTACAAAGTTTATATCCTAAGCATGAAGGACGTTTCTTCAGAATGTAGCCTTTTATATTCTAACATCAAAAGAGAGATGCTCTGAGTAAGTCTAGGGTTGAATATAGGGTTATCTGAGCTGTCAGACTTTGGATTCTGGATTGTACTGGTTGATTCTTTGCCTCATTAACAGTCACAACTATATTTTCATTGATGGCAGCAGATAACACGTGCACAGGCTGTGTGAAATTCAAGGGTGTGTTTTGTGCTTTCTAGGTCAGGTTCATACTTTCTGCATTCATCCCTTAGCGCTAAATTCCGCGTGGACTTACTGAGGTTGCACAATTTGTGTTATTACCAACCAAAATGTGATACCCTCTTTCTGCTTTTGTTCCCAGGTCTATGTATTTTCACATGCACATTCTAAGCATCCTGGTGTTGCTTGTGTTACCGGTCAGACCTCAAGCCCACTCTGTAAGAAAGCTTCAGAATCAGGCCGTGCAGAACTCTGTTAAAAGCAAAGACAAATGATGCCTCCAAAGGAAATTACCAACTTTGGGAAATCGAACTGTCATATTGGAAACAAACGAAGAAGAAGAAAAATGGGTGGGATGAGTGTTGAAGTACAAGTGGCATTTCTATTGATTATCTTAAAATCTTACTGGACAGGGCAGAAAAGAGCCTGAATTGACTGTATTTCACGTTACACCAGTGAGCAGAGATTTTACAGGCAATGTTTACCAGCTCATGGGGCATTTTGATTTTTTTTTTTTAAATAAATATTTTTATGAAGCGTTTTTATATATTTAAACTTTTTCACACAGAGAGGCATTTTTGCTCTTTTACAGAAATATACAATTACTACTTAATAATCTTGAGATTAGAGGGACAGGAAGCAGCTAGTGAGGAGTTGGAACAGCTGCCAGATAGCCTGGTGCTGTGGGCAGCTGGCAGGGGAAGAAGCTTTTAATCTCTTGGCTATGGAGAGAGATGGTGCAAGTAGAAGATGATGAACGTGGAGTTGGTCAAGGTGCTGGCACTGAGTTCTGCCCTGGCAAGGATGAGAGGGAGCGGGACAGTGATCCCCAGAGGAGGGACTGCAGCCTGAGCTGGGCAGCGAGGGTATTTCACATCCTTCAACCTGAGACCTGCTGGTAATGAGGGCAAGACAAGTCCCTTGGGAATAGGTGTCTGGGAGCACTAACCAGAGTTAGGCCAAAATCTAAAACTAAGTGAAAGCAAAACAAAAAGGAACCAAAACCCTTTAGAGGAACAGAAGGGACATCCACCCTGTGATCTGTAGAGCTGTGCTTCTGTCATGAGGCAACTGGTGCTCGTTGCTGCATCAGCCTGCCTTTGCAGTTTGGGAGTGATGCAGCACTTCCATTTTGCTCTCAAAATAACTGAGGAGCCAGGCAGATGTCGTGTTTTAAAGCTCACAGTTATGGGTTACATCTGAAAAAGGTTTGTAACGGATCAGACTGTTCTACTCAAGAACATCCTGTCTTGTGGAAGGGGTTACTTTCCAGCAGGATAATGCAAATATGAAACCCAAACAGTAATTATCATAGTCGTAATTAATCATGCTGTACCAAATATTGTCCTGTGATAGGATCATAGAATGATGGAATTGTTTTGGTTGGAAAAGGCCTTTAAGATTATCAAGTCCAACCGAAAACCATCACCAGAGTCAAGACCGAATCCTTGTGTGATCTCCATGTGTGACAGCCTGTTGATGCAAGTTTCCCTGCCTGTAAAGTCCTTGGCTGACAGGGATGTTTGGAGGCTTAATTTCTAAGGTCTTGTTGTGCATGGAGATAACCTGCTGCAAAATGCTGTGGCAGGTTTGTTTTTTGTTTTTGTTTTTTTTTAGTTCATTTTTTTTAAAATCCATTGACCCCAATCAGTCTGGTGTTCCTTGAGGAACAGCTCTGTCCCTCATGGGCTGGGGCATCCCATGGGCTGAAGCCAGTCTGGTATAACACATCAAAACCAAACAAAACATTTTTTATTTATTTTTTTAAAAATTCCTGTTTTCCAGGAATGTGTTTAATCAGGCTTTGATAGAAGCAGTTCTCTTGGTAGAGTATTGGTATCACTTTTTGATTATTTAACTGACGTGTGACTGAGCAAAGAATCTGCTGTTTGCTGCATTCTGATTTTGGTGTCAGATTAAAATTTTACAGAATCCCAAACATTTTGGGAGGAAATGGATCAGTGAAACCAAAACACATTTAAAAAAGAAAAATAATTTTTTTTTTTTTTCTTTTCTCTGGTGGGCAGCTTTTGTCCTGTGACCACCTGATGATTTAGAGCATAGTTTGTGAAGAGTTTATTTGGTAATTTATTCTGAAGGCGAGATGGGATCAAAAGGTTGATCTGAATAAACCAATTGCTTTGTGTCACTGCCTGGCATTATTAATGACGAACGTCTGATGTGAAAAGGGGTGAGTGGGTGCCAGGTCCCTTGCACTCGGGAGGGGACATGTTCAGGTCTGTTGGGTTCTACAGACCAGCTGGGCTCTACACCCTGCTCCTGCTGCCAGGGAGACAAAATGACCCCTGTTCATTTTCGTGGCAGCTTTGTCCTCAACTTGGCAAGACCTTATTTATCCTCAAGTGTGGTTTCTCCTTGTGTCTCCACTCTCGGTTACATCTTGGGCATCTCGTGTTTCCCTTGAGGAACAGCTCTGTCCCTCGTGGGCTGGGGCATCCCATGGGCTGAGGCATCCCATGGGCTGGAACCAGCCTGCGTTCACCTCCCAGACGCTGGAATGAATTGCTCGGAGCACTGGCAGAGCCAAGGTAACGTGCACTGACTCCAGGCTTCGACAGCCCCGCAGAAGGCAAGTGTTTCCAGCAGGTTGGCATTAGCACTCGCTCTGGAAAGTAAATACACTTGAAGGGGTTGGGGTTTTGTATCTGCTGCTCTGTGCCCTGAAATCTGCCCTGGTCTGCAGCTCTTCCCGAACTGCAGCTTCAAGAGAGGACGGATGTTGTCAGTGGGGTTTCTTTTCTAGTGTTTTGTCCGAGTGGAAGCTGCTTAACTAATGCCATCAGCTTCTGTCGCAGTTTCAGTTTCTACAGTGTAATGAATTAGAGCTGGTGAGCAAACTCCTCCTCTCCTGTCCTGTTGTCTCCTCAGCCTGACCCTCTCCCTGAAAACAGGAACCCTGGGCTTCAAGGAGAACTGTTTGCCTAGATTTAGTGTGATACATGACGTGAATTAAAATTGAAACGGTCTTTTTGAAACGTTGCATTTGCAGGGAAACTTGTTGGTTGAATTAGTCTTAAAGCTGGTGGGGGGGGGGGAAAAGAAAATAGTCCAAACTGAGCTGTACGGTGTGACTGTGGACCGTGCAGCTTACCTAGACAAGCGTGGCTGTCCTGCCAGACTAACACAGGGTGGATTTAAATCGCTGTTGAATATTCCTCTGGAATAAGGCCATTGCCTTTCGTACTGCCTTTCTCAATCCATTCTACTGAGTCTTCCTCTCCTTTTCTTCTTCTGGGCAGAAGAAAAATTGCCTTTATAGAAAGACTGCAAACAGCCACGACTGTTTAGAGGAGACTTATGCTAGTAATGTGCACCTATTTTGCACAATAGTATATAACTCTAAGAGCTGGAAGCAGAAATTCAGGTTATAAAAGTGTGATATCAGGAGCTCGAGTACTGGGCTTGCATTACTTGGAATACTGTGATTTGAAGGTGTGCTTCAGTGATTAAAATACATGATTGTGATTACCAGCACATCTAATCCCTCAATCCAACACATCTAATCAACAATCTAATCAAGTTTATAATCCCTCTCTGGCTTCCCTGAGCTGCAAAAAGCTGAGGAGCTGAAGCTTCTAGAGGGATTTTGAAGACAAAAAACCCCAATCTTGGTGGTCTGTAAGAGAGAAATATGGGACTGTCAGACAGAGATGAAAAGAGTAGATTGTACTGGATTGACAAAGGTTGTATTTTAAATACAGGAATACCGAAAAGATGTCACTGCCATCACCCCCTTAGATGGAAGGCAAATTCTAGCTGCTATTTTTCAGCACACATTTGGCTGCATTAAAGCTAAACTAGAAATTGAAGCGCACTTAGGAGAGGGGACTGAACGAAGAGTAAAACTTCCTTTCAGCTTAACTACGGATCTGTTATTTAAATGCAACAGCTCAGTAATTTCCTCAGTGGACTGGAAGCACAAAATACTTTATTATACTGTCTTGTAAACTGTCCCCCTCTTCAAGTACATTCCTGCCTGTCCCCTCGGAGCATACCAAGCAATAGAGACAGCACAGAAGTGGGACACAAGGTAGGCAGATATTTTTCATCCCCTTTTGGCTGCTCTGTTCTGCATGGATACATTGCACGTAGCTGGGATTTCTGCATCACTTAAAATGAGGTAGGTGGGTAAGGCGGCCGTAGATTTTTACCCTATTAGTAAATTGTTTGCATAAACTTGCACTTACCTCTCTGTCCGTATGAAAACAGGCTCAGCAGGCTAAATCTGGATCCCTTCTTAGAAATTACAGGTTGAAATCCTGACACCCAAAGAACTTTTTTATACTCCAATCCAGAAAACTAGTAAGCCATGTAAAAATTTTGTTCGGCTACAGATTGGCTAAATCTGGATCCCTTCTTAGAAATTACAGGTTGAAGTCCTGACACCCAAGAAAGTCTAGAGGTAAAATTCCTATCAGTGAGGTCAGTGTTTCTGATATTTAAAGCCTTTTTCTTCCTATCCCTGAACTGAGGACTTTAGAAAGATATTCCACCAACTGTGGAGGGGTAATGGGAGTAACTCAAAACTTGGCTTAAACATTTAAGAACATGTTACAAGAGTTGCCTGTAGTCCATGTGTCGCGA